TAGAACTGTAATAACTAAGTGATGAATATCGAATTAAAATAAATTTAAACCAGGTTTATAGACTTCGTGCGACTTCCTTTAGTTGATATTTAGGTACAACCTGCCATCTAACCGTTTGGTATACGTAACTACAGAGACTACAGGTACAATAAACGAACAATGAACTTGCAATATAAATACATATTTTATATATATATGTATGTGCATGCATGTAAGTGAGTTGAACCATTTCCGTTTGAGACACAATGACAGCACAACTTCCGTTACGACATTATGAAAAAGAAGAAAGATGTTATGAAACGAAATATTGTTGCACATAACGGCTGTATACGACATTCCGAACTGGAATACTAATACACCTGATTATTCAATACACGGTATACTTACATGTTTGCATATTGTAGATACTTATACAGCATAAGTATTAAGTTTCAGTAGGCAGGTAAATTTATTTATAGTGTGGTATGAGAGTTCTTTTAACTGTTTCGAAAGATGTGATTTTTATTCAATTGAGAACTTTTACCCCACAATAAGAAAGCTACTTTCATGTACTGAAAGTTCTCACCCATGTGCAGACCCACCTTGAAGATTAATCTAACCCATTAATGAAGAGGCAGATTATATCTCCAATATCGTCATCATCATAAGGTCGTGAGTCCTAACACTGGTTGGACACGCACCTACACTCTTTCCTACCCTTAGCTAATTTTCGCATTTCCCTAAAACTATAACAGCCCACATCCTTAACTATAGGGTTGTTCGGAAAGTCATTTCGTTTTTTTTTGTGGAAATGAAAGACAGTTTTCGTATAATAAACAAATACTTTATTAAATTATATATTGACCGTTCTGNAAGTACGGCAGAATTAATAGGATTAATAAATATATATGGGGATTTACCTGAAGGAATAGAAATTATTTATAGATTATGGGGACTATTTCTGTAAAAGAGATTTATGATGTACACTTTTTCGTCAGCGGTTTTTCACTCGGGGTACATTAAATACGAGATATTTTTATGACTAACATTTGCATTTAAAGAAAAGTACATATTGTCACATGCAGGTAACCCAACAAAAAAGACGTCACATTCTGGTTCTTTAGAAGTTCTTCTGATTGCTTGACTTGGTGTTTGTTGAGATGGTTGCTATCCCAGAGACCTTGCGTGGAAAACTGTAAACATTGTTCATTTGCGGAGAAGAAGGAAGAATTGGCATTGATCTGTTGTAATCTAAGACCAGAGGAACGACAAAGATATTGGCCCAATAATGAGATGGAAAGAAACTGGAACCATGAGAGCACCGTGGGAAGATGTGAGCCATCTAAGACAGACAATGAAAAACTATGGGGCCAGTGGAATTCCCTTGCCACGGACCAAGGCATTTTGAAGAGAATATGGAAAAGATCCCGAATGTGACGTCTCTGAGTTTCTTTGTCACTATGTATGCTGGGTTACCTACACGTGACACTATATGTTGGGTTGCCTACATGCGACAGTATTTTATCAATTTATCACAAAATACATACACCTGCTTATTTTTCTTAGTACCATTTGAACATAAAATGCAACGCTGGATGACACTAAATGTTAGTATTCATTAATTTTGCTTTTTTTGAAAAGCGAAAAAAATTTTAAAACTTTCAGCCCTTCTTCAACTTGGCAATATTCAATAATATAATGAAAACTGACATACAGTAGATGCATGGTGTATGTTTAGGTATAAAGATATGCAGCATTAATTAAATGAGGTAATTAGTCTTAATTTTTGTTGTTTTCATTATACGTTATTAGGGTTTTGAAGGCAGTTTCGTAAAAGCAGTTTTGTACTTCTGTTTAGTTGTAGACGTGTCTGTTTACTTTTCATTGTATCTAATTGTTCCAATTATGCAATGGTTCGCTTGTAGCATTTTATTATGTACGTCATTGAGATGTTTTCTATTCTGTTCTTTTAGAAATTGCACGCGAGTCTGTTTACTAGGAACCAACGATCACTTACTTGACATTTGTGAGGTACGCTGGCATAAAATCCGTCGTGTAGACCATCGCATTTGAATTCAATTTCTTCCGGAACTCGGTGGTAAAAGGGATATTCGGATAGATTATAACCGTTCAATTCACGAGGAAGATTGGGATCGTAAATGTAATCAATTTGGGGAATTCCAGTCAGTGTTCTTGTTGCGTTTGCAGGGGATGTCGTGTTGGTTGATGACGATGTCGAATTGTCAGCACTCTAGAAAAAAGTATACAAAATAAGATTACAAAGAAGCAGATAAGGCATGTAATTTCTTTTGGTTTTTTAAAACCAGAAATAAATAAAAGGTGCAAGATGAGATGCAACAAGATCGAAATCGCGATCCGCGTCTGACAGTTTGGATAGAATACTGATCATCATAAACTTCGTTGGTATAAATAAATAAATCAGAATATAACAAAAAATAATACTGATGTACATATTTAATTGATTCATTTAGACCTTACCTGATAGAATAATGAAAATCCTTTTAACTACATAAAAAATTACGAAAACAACTAAATATTTTTAACTCATCATCATCATAAGGTCGTCAGTCCTAAGACTGGTTGGATACGCACCTCCACTTCTTCCTATCCTGAGCTAATCTCCGCATTTTAGGGAAATAATCGAGAACATCCCACATCCTTAACTATTTGCGAACAGTAATCTAATCTATGTCTACCTCTACTACTCCTAACTCCTGTTTCTGTCTCTAATATGTCTCTGGCTAGATTTTTATGCCTGAGAAGGTGTCCTACCAATCTACCATATTTTAACTAAACATTGTTTTATTACAAAAAAAAACCCATAACAAGTGTATCGCCAAACATTGATGGAATCATTCTATAAAACAAATAATATTTAGTGAAAATGTTTTTATTTTTTGTTATTAAGCTATTAACTCCCTCTCTGCCCATACATGGGACGTAAGTTAAAGTGAAATTAGGAGACTTCAAATTTAGCATGAATATTTCTTTTACTAAACGGACATGCAATTGCTAAAACTGGTTTAATAATAAACAACAAATACTTAACCACAAGGTGACATAATCAGGTAAAAACTTCATTAATTGAATTATTCGTCATGAATTAAATGAATACTGTGTTTTCTATCTAATAACTTGCGAATCACAGGAGCGTATAGAGAATTATAAACTATATAGATGTATAATCATTATCCAGAAATACCCATATGATTACTGTATTTAAATTATAATTATTCACGTGAACTGTAGCATATATATATTTATTCATTTACTGAAAAATTTATAAATTTTCTTAAGTTTATTTCGCAATACTTCTTGAATTGATAACATCTGGCGATATGATCAAACTTGAAGGCTTCTGTTTCATTCAAAATTGCGTTCTAAAAATTGCTATCTACCTTCTAAAATAAAAACATTGTTTAGGTTCCATGCTGCCGCTTATTGCACTATTTCAACATCAAGTAGGTGTTTTTCACTTTTTTTTTAACTAAATAACGGCTAGGTATTTCTTTTCATCATTTTTTTAATAGATTAAAATCATAAATACGTGCTTCATAGTATTCGAAGTCTTCTAACTGAGTAGCTCCACGAGGCAATTTGAGAAATGAATGAAAAAATGTAAAGATTTTGACAGGATAACGAAAAAATATTAATAATTAATGATCACCATGACGATCACACACAAATGACCTTTTATTACATGTTATGTAAATTCAGCACATGTCTGTATAATAAATAGTTTAGAGAAGTGAGAAAAGTAAATATACGCAGTGGAAAATATTGGCGAAGTGCTTCGCTAAGAATAACTATGCTTTGATGCAACAAATGTTTCAAAAAAAATGTATTTGTAGTGTGTTGTTAATATGTATAAATAAAATTAAAACGTCTGCCTAATATTGAAATAAGCCTGTTTTGCATTTGAATACTATGGAGACGCAAACGATCCTTAAACAAATTTTTGTCTGTTTGTCTATACGGACTAATCATCGAATCGACTGAACTAATATCGATGAGACTTTACAGACATACGTAAAAAGGGGGTTATTAGGTTTGATTTACGGTTAATCTATAGGTGTAGAATGAAAATGAATAATTATTAATTTTAATATGTAAAACTGTGAAAAATTAATAAAGTTGGTCTAGATATTATTGCACAAACCTATTTGTTCTTTTTTTGAGAATAGGTACCTATCTAGGTATCTACATTGAATTAAAAAAAAGTTACGTTATACAGGGTGTTTCTAAAATAAGTAGCAAGCTTGCAGGAGTTGATATGGTATACTATAAAACAGGAAACTTATGTAAATGTTTAATGTCCCACCCTGATAATATCACGGTTTGGTGGTGTGAAAATTTACCTCACAATTTATAACATTACAATTACAATATTAATGTTTTCGTTCTTCTTTCTTTTGTGTTTTTAATATCATGTCGTGGTGTACTTTAAATAGTCCTGCATAACTTTTTGTATACATTATTTTTTGTATTAGTAAGCTGTTGATTCTTACTTTATTACTCGTAAAAAGGGCGGAGGAACTATTAGGGGAAGATCAATTTGGGTTTAGAAGAAATAGAGGAACGCGGGAGGCCGTTCTAGCTTTACGGGTAACAATAGAGAAAACGATAGAAAAAGGAAAGAGTGCGTACATAGGATTTGTAGATTTTGAAAAAGCGTTTGACAATGTTAAATGGGACAAGATGTTAAATAGACTTAAAAATGTAGGGATAAGTTACAATGATAGAAGAGTGATACTTAGTTTGTATAAAGAGCAACAGGCACTTGTACAGCTGGAGCTGCAACGTAGAGAAGTAAATATTAGGAAGTCAGACTGGGATGCACACTGTCACCGTTACTTTTTAATCTGTACATCGAAGACGCGATCAACATCATTATGGACAGTACAACTGTAGGGATAG